TTCACTTAAAATACAGAAAAAACTACTATGCAAAGAGATAATAAATTTCCATCATTGTTCATTTCTACAGATGGCTTTTGGGTAGCTGCCTCATTAGAAGATAAAATCCTATTGCTAAGAATATTAGCTAAGAATACAACCACACAGCAAACATACTAAATGAGTGTATTAAATTTTGAAAAGAAAAATGTGCCATTCTAAACAAAGAAGCATATTTAATACCTGCAAACAAAAATCTAATCTGTAGTATCTGTGATGATTCAATAAATATGAAGCTCCTGAAACCAATGGAAACACTAACACTGACTTCAAACAGCTTTGAGTCAGCTTCCAAAACTTACACTAGCTGCAATAAGTCCATATATTCTATTAATATCTATCTTAATAATGCTCAAAACCCCAGTAAGTTTTGAAATGGCCAGTAGGCACAAGAACCAATTCTTTATGAGAAACTCCTTTTATCATATATCACCTTCTTTTACAAGAAAACCTGGAGATTTTAAGATGTATTTTAGAGTTGCTGAACCACAGAATTGTCACAAGCAGAGATATCTCCAGAATGACAATGGTAGAGACTTTCTTCATTCCCTTACCTACATTCAGTCTCTTGCTTTTCCCTGGATCCTCTCCCACTTCTTTTTCTTATCCCCTACATATAGGAGAAAATTGTCTCCTGCACAAAATGAGTCTTTCTTCACCCACTACCTCATTAGTGAATTATTAAAGGTGGCTTCTTCTGATCAGGGAGCCAGTCATGAACCTGCTCTGTGACTGAGCTACTGAAATATCAGCAATAATCTGTGAAAGTGTTCCACTGCTATCATATAACTTGTACATTCTATAACCTACACAATTTTGTCTAATAAAAGATTTATCCTCCTCTGCTTATTTTGCTCCCTATCATAACATACCCATTAAATACTTATTAAATGTATGCTCCAATTATTTTTACATCCACATAAGCTATATCCACGTAAGTGAACTTCAATCACATAGAACACTAATATAAAACAAATAACAAAGAATTACTTTAGTCCTTCATATATATTTATTTCAAAGTACTCCAATTCTGGCCTCTGTATTTCAGGTCTGCCAGCAGTTACAAAAAAAATTATGGATCCAACTGTCCTTTACAGAAGGAAAATCCTTTAAGCACAGTGCTTTGTAGTGAGAAGCATGCTATAATCATTTCTTATTGAGTCATTGCACGTGAACTATGGAATAAGTCAAAATGCATTACTGGAAATCATCTAGAAATTGTTAAACATTTATACTGTAATATTGTCAGTAAATTTAATAAATCTGGATTTTTGACTTCTATCAGCCTATCAACTCATAATTTCAGATGTACTGCAAAGGATCTCTGCCTGAATTTGGCCTGTATGCATAAAATTTACTAAAAAATCAAGTGCTATCAACCAAAGCAAAGTTAAAGGAGTAAAAAAGGGCTACCTTTAGCTGTGGAGGTATTTGGAAATAGTTTTACAATAGCTCTCAAATGGAAGGAAAGTTGATCCTTTTGGAAGCTGCATTATATAGAATCTGAGTATATACTTCACATTTCACATTGTATCAGCAGCCTGAGAAATGTCTCATGCTGGACTTGGAAAATATTATACAAAGACAGCTGCTAATGAATCCTGTAGGACAATTCCTTTGCTACTGTTCAGTAAGATATCAGAGGAAAATAAGGTTGAACAGATAGAATTTTCAATATTGCTGAAGGACTCGACTGCCACTACAATGCGTGCTTTTCAAAACATACTTGAAAATCTTGCCCAGTACTTTTTTTTTTAAAAAACACGTGCTTGAGACTAGTTTCCAAAACCCCTATCTAGTTTCCTGCCTCATTAAGAGAACAGTTTTCACAAGCTCCTGCGACTAGGTATTAATTTATAAGGCTTCTATTTCTGAAAGCTTTGATTCAATGTGTTATGTTACATATATTTTTATTGCACAGGGGGAAGTTTTGGTCTTGCTTGAGTGAATGGAAACTTTTTACCATTTTCCATGGGATCCAAATTTCAGTTATATTTGGGGCTTTCAAGAATTCCTAAACTGCTTATGAGTGTGGGTGACTGTTACATGTGGACCCTCCTTACAAGCCCCCACTTCAAAACAGAAGTTCAAGAAATAAGGCTATCATGTTATTTATTTATGGACTTTCATTTTGTAATATAAGCTTTAAACATGATTTATGGAAAGCCACAAGGCAAACCAATGTTAAGATCAGAATTCTGATTTGGGGGATTTTTTTTGTTTTCTCTGCAGAGGTACTATTTTCTACTATGATATGTATAAATTGCAGACCCCTGGTGGCCTAGTGGTTAGCGTGCAGGACTTTCACTGCTGCGACCACAGGTTCAAATCCCGGTCTCCTGGCCTGATGGAGGTCGTTAGCCCTGTGTGGCCATCCATCTATGAGAAGGACACTCTAAACAAACCTACGTCCTGAGGACCTCACTGCCATTGTCCAAGCGCGCTTGGCCCCGGCAGATGAACCTTAGGATTAAAGGGTGGGCTCAGTTCAGCGCAGGCTGTGTCTCACCTAAAAAAATCCATTGCGCAGGCTGGAAAGGTAAAAGACCTTTCCCAAAATCTTCGTTCGCGAAGATGGGCCAATTATGTATAAATTGCAGCACATTTCAAGGTTACTGAAAGTACTATGAGAATATACAGCACACACTTACTGGAACATTAAAAATCACCTCCTGATGTAATGTAATTCATCTAACTTCTCATATTGACTGCAATATTCTCCCAGCAAAACCTGGAAATTTTCTTGAAGAAGAATGAGTAACTGAAGAAGATGATGACTACCATTATATAACATTTCTTTAATTAAAAATTAAAGAAAAACAGCTTTCAGGCAAAATTTCTGACAGACTCAATTACTGTTTTGTTGACACATAAAACTGGGATCTTCTTTTATCAAATTCTGCTCTTCTACATCTTCTTCTTAATTTTTCTCTTTTGATTACATATAGGGCAGGACATAAAAAAAACTCCAATTCCTCTAGGTTTAGCATTACTTTATAAAATAAATTAATAGTAAATTTAGGAAAAGTAACTGGAAACAAAAGCAACAGAAGATGAGAGAAGTAAGATGAGAAGATCAAGTAACCATTTAAATTACTCTGGAGTGCTACTTGACGTTTCCAAATTATTTTAATTTAATTCACCTATAATGTATAAGCTTTCCATGATTTCACTTCACTATAATTTTAATTGCTAAACAGTTCTTTTACAGACATGAAACAAAGAAACAGAACAAAAAAGAGAAATGCATCAGTGGGTTAAAGCATAATTACCTCACCTTGCACTCTTTCAAATTATCCAGGTTTTTTACCTAATGACAAGAGGCTCTAAAAATGTTTAATTTCTGAATGTATCCTTCACCACTTTATCAACTTTTATTGCTGATAAATTTTTATGATCAAAACTGTTGTTTTTAAAATATAATTTAAAAATAGAGGTCGTAAGAGAGAACAGACAACATTCCACCAGAAATGCTCGCTTGGCAGAACTTAACAGCCTAAAAATAAGATTGATTTCTCAAAACCTTTTGATAGAAACAAAGGACATGGGCAAGTGAAGCCAAACTTCTCAGCCTATATTTTCTGCTGTAGCTGGCTCTTCAGATGGCCAAATCATTACTCCTCCATGTAACCAGGTGTGCTTCAACTCTCAGCTCCATCTGAGCTCTCACTGTGGGCTATTTTTATCACACCTGCATAACAAGGTCTTAATAATATTTTTGCTTATAATCAAGCATGCTACATTAATACCCAATGGAAGGTACAGGATTAAAATTTATTGAGAACAGTGATGATCAAAGAAAAGAAGCCTGTTCCAGAAAAGGTTGTCAACAGTAAAAATGAGTATCAAGCATAGATGTCCCTCCAGAGGGTTCCTGAACATGGACGGATCCAAGTCCCATTTTTTAAATTGAATTTGAATTCCAAGTGATACGGTAAAACACTCCAGAGACATAACTAAAACAGTTCCAAAACAGGGAAAGGGTTCTGAAGAAAACAACTCAAAGGTAGAGAAAGAAGAAAATTATTTCCAGTGGGACTTTAAAAAAGTCACTAACTGATAGGAAACAAGAAAAGGAGAGCTGTCCCAGATATCCAGGACTGCAGAGATGAGAAAGGAAAAAGTGGAGCACAGACGGGCAGAAGACATATCTCTGAAGTACTAGAGAGAGCTGAAGGCTCCAAAGGAAGTCTTGCTGTTGTGATGCTGAGACACAAATGCTCTAATTTTGAATTGGCAAGCACTGCAAATGGGATCTTGGCATGTCTCAACTTGCAGCATCCAAACATCAGCAAGCCTCAGGGTCCCCGTGTCGCTGTCATTGACGAATACTGGTTTCCAAAGCCTGGCCTGATGCCTCCCATCCTTTAAACAACAGACACCAGCAAGCAGCAGGGTGTTTTTTTCCCCTATTTTTTAACTTTCTGCAGGTGGCAGCTCTTAATTGCGCCCGAACCCGGCCTCGGCATCCCCTGGTCCGCGGCACACTGCATATGGGTCCGGTCCCTGACGGCACTGAGCACTCCATTCCACGGAGGCTTCCGGGGCCTTCACCAGCTCGTCGGCAGCTCGAGGAGAGCAGCGGAAAAGCCGAGAGGAGCCGCCCGCGGGGCCGGCACGGGTCCTGCCAGCGGCTCTGCACCGCCGGGACCGCCCGTGCTCCCCGCCAGGGGCTCAGCGACAGCCGGCTGGCCCCGACGCTTTATTCCCCCGCCTTTCCCGCTCCTGTCCCTGTCCCGCTCCTGTCCCTGTCCCCCTTCCTGTCGCTCTCCCTGTCCCTGTTCCTGACTCCGTTCCCGCACCGTTCCCGTTCCTGCCCCGTCCCTATTCCTGTCACGGTCCCTGGTGCGCGTGCGTGGGCGGCGGAGGGGGCGGGAGACAGATGCCGCCTGCGCGCGTGCGCGCGCCGCCCGGGCACGCGCGGTTTGCGGGCTGCGTGCGGGCGGGCGGGCGGAAGTGGCGCCGTGGGCCGGGCCGGGCACTCGGGGGGCTGGAGGGACGGATCGCTGCGTACTGGAAGTTTCTTCTCTGGCACCGAGTGCACTGAAAAGGAGTTTCTGTTGTTAATACGTCTGAGGTCTTGGTTTTAAAGATCTCGGTTTCTTGCAGCTGGCCGTTTGACTCTCTGAAGCAGTTAGTTCACATCCCGAGAGGATCCGCAGTGTAGTCCAGTCTGCCCGAGGTCTCTCTGTTTTCAAGTGGGTTGCTGCTTTCTAGAGCTTGAAACACTGTTGAGATAATGGCTGTGTAAGAACCCACTTTCCTCAGGTAACGTTTGATTGTGGCCTCTTTTGCATAATGTCAGATTAGTAAATTTTAATCTGAACTAAAGACAATTTTGGTTTGATTTTTTCTGGTCTGTTTGCTTTGGTTTGGGGGTTGTGGGTTTTTTTTTGGTTTATTTGTTTGTTTTGGTGATTTGTATTTTGGGGGTTTTTTTTGAGAATTCTAGTTGTACTTTAGTGAAAGTAAGTGCCAGCTGTGTTATGAATAGTAAGAATAGGCTAGGACTTATTTCCAGAATAAGTGCCTGGAGATCTGCAGCAAGAGCAAGCTGAAGCTCAGATATGCTACTAACTTGGTTTCTCCTGTTTTAGTTAGCTGACAGTTCTTATTTTCTTCTCATGATAATTCTCAAGGAAATCATAAGTTACAAGATGAAATTCTTACAGAAATTCAGACTGCACATTTTGTTCATTTAGGGCCCTCTTGATTTCACTAAGACTGCTGTCTGACAAAAGATTTCTCTTGTGACTGCAGGTTGAGTTTAAGGTAGTTCTGTGTTGTCAACTCTGTTCAAGGTGTAAATATTCATTTTTTTGAGAAAATTTTGCATAATCTATAGTAAGAGTGTATGACTGTGTCCACACGTGTGCTTTTAAAATGACACATTACCTATGTTGTAATTGTTTTAACTTTTGTACAGTTAGTCTGGATATTGCACTGACTTGTATTTGTATTTATAGGGGCTTCAGATACCGACCATTGTGGCTGACCACATCAATGAGATGCTGATGCTCGTGGCTGTTCCTTCATTCTTCACAAAACTGTGGTGAGGTTTCCTCCAGAAGTCCACACAATCATGTAGTTTATTCTTTGATTTGGACAATGAGTTTATGTGTCCTCTACAAGTAGCATTTGCTTTGATGGATGAGGAATCTCCTCATGCCTTTGACTACTACAGTGTCCTTTTCCCAAAAAGGCATTAATCCTCTTGATGTCATTTTTGTGTATGACTGAAGTATTTCTTGTTTGTAGAGAAGGGAGTAAACTTTTAAATTTACCTCTCACTTCTTGTGTTTTCTTTGCTTTTGCGCTCCAAAGCTAATTTCTCATTAGTTTTTGAATAAAAGTAGTGTTCTAGAGGAGACTACAGAGGAATAGTCTTTTTCTTGTAGTGAGAACTAGAGTCAGGACTCAATAGTGTATATCGTTGTCTCGAACAAAGCCTTAAATGCTAAATGGATCTGAGTAATCCAGGCAGAGAGGTGTTAATTGCTTGCTATTCTGTGGATATAGATTGATGTATTATGATGATACACCATAAGAGAAGAACAGGACTAACTTTGACTTCCTCCTCAATTAGGTTAATTCTGGAGTCAAGGTAGAGAATATTAATATGCTTATTTTTCAGTTTTGTTTTTTGCAGCATTAAGTGCTTGCAGTTTTTTACAGTGGAATTTTGTTGTCTATAATATTTATATTTTGATTTTTTGCAGTATGAAGTAAAAGTGGTAAAGCTTATCTTGCATCTTATTTATAATTTAGAATGCTAATAGGGGCTCATTTTTTGTTTGTATTTTTTTTCTTCTTTTAAGTGTGTCTTGATGAATTTTTACTGAAGAAAATAGCAGAATTACAGTGTTTTAAAGAACTGGACTTGGAAGACATATGTCTTCAAATATATGAAATCTATGATGGGACATCATTCCATTACTAGTGAAATGACTTTTCTTCCAATTTGTTATAATCTGTTAGTTCAGTTAATCTTCACTGAATCGTAGTGATTCTCCTTGCTCAAAAAAATTCTGCAGCTTCTATATTCAGAATGTACGTGGAACGATTCCTGGTTCTAACAGGAGGTCAGCTTGATCCATCTGTCATGGCTAATAAAGTGTTTTTCACTGCTAGAATGTTCTGTGTGCTTTAAACAATTATAAGGCATGTTGGTACCTTTAGTTTAACCCTGTCCTTTTGTGACAATGTCTTTGTACACTGAACTTGCTACCTACAGCTTTTTGTACTGAATTGTTTTAGAAACTTTGTACTGCTTTACTATGTTAATTGCCATACAAAATTTGACTATTTCATGTTACATAGAGAATCATGGAGGAAGGGGCGAAACAGCGATGAATTGTCTTGATGATAAGAACATATTAGCTTTTTCCATGTAGCTTAGTTTTCTTTTGTTCCTGTCTTTCAGTCATGTTGCCTTGGTGTTGATGTCAACAGTTCTGTAGTGTTTGTGGCTGTGTGGTGTTAACTTCACTTGTAACTGTGGCTTTTGGTTTATTATTGTGCACTGAAGGCTGGTATAATAAATTTTGAGAGTTTAGATTCTGATGTTTTTCCAAACATAATTTGAGATTTTTTTTAATTAAAGCGAAAGTTAAAAAAGCCTAGAGGAAAAAGAAGGCTTACACATAAAGACTTAAATGGTGAGGTTCTTCCTACCATTCTGTTTTGCAGTGCAAGGCTCAAAAATTGCAGTCTTTAAAAGCCACTGTCTGTTCTATAAGTGCATAGATCTTTGGGTTTATGCTTGAGTTTTAAGCAGTGAAGTTACCAGGCTCTCAGAGCATGTATCTGGGCTGTGCTGGACCTAAAAGGAAATGCTGATTTTTTTTTTTCTTTCTTTCTGTGGGAACTGATGAAAAGATTGTGAACCTGAAAGCTTTTCAAGTTTCTGTGCATGCAACCCAAACCAATACCTAGATGCCTAATTTAAGTCTGTGGGTGTGTGTACTCTCGAGCTGCAAGTGAGAAGGATGGAGTCAAGTTCTTCAGAAATATAGGAATTTTTCTCTTGTTCCTGGACCTAGAGAAAGAGGGATTCTTTGACTGCCACATTTTGGTGGAATAATGTCCTATTCCAGAAAAAAAATAAAATAAAATGACTGCTTCTTGTTCAAAGCCATTTCTACTTAGCAATTGTTTTCTGATGTACTGTGGTTTGAGTTTTATGCTTTTGAAATACATGCTACTATTCTGTAGGTAATACAGACAGTTATTGTATTGAGGTAGATTGTTCCACTGTCTGAAATTTAAGGTCTAGAAAATTTGTAGGTAGAATGTCAGGGACAGGCAGAGCAGCGCATGAGAGTTAAACCCATAGCCATCCTCAGTGTTATATTTCACTTAAGCAAGTGAGATATATCACATTTGCATTGGGGGTGTTGACTGGTGGGTTACATCCTATATACAGTATGCAGCCTGTATATCCTTTCTGGTTTCTCATACAGTGTGCATCTTTTCATACAATTCTTTGTTTGTTAAAATCATTAAGCTATTTGGTTGCTCCCTCTCTATATTTTTGTCACTTTAACTACTGGAAGGCAAAAGATATTTGTAGTTCACAGCCTTCCTCCTTCACTGTGTGCATGTGCTGTGTGTCCTTCCTCTTCCAGGAGTGTCCATGATGCTGTCTACCCTTCTTGCAGTCTCTGTTGGTATTGTTTGGTTTTTTTAACTACCCATCCTTATGAATAGCTCTGTTTACACCACTTACAAGCTTTTGTGCAGCAGACTCAGGTTGGAATGATTCCTGTCAGTGTTAAAGTCAGTCTTTTGGGAACAAGAAAGATACTTGACAGACTTATTTTCATGTTTTGCTCTTCAGGAGAGTAGTGAACACCAAGAACAGCACTAACAATATCTTCATGCATATTTGGGAAGCCAGTACCTATTAGTTGATTTTTGAAAATTTACTTCTATGGCTCTTAGAGCTACACTCATGTCTTAGTTTTTTAATTCCAGAAAACAAGAATCTGGGAGCCTCAACAATTAGCAGTTAAAACACGTGGCCTTAGTTTTATATCTACAAAAGTTTAATATCTGGGAAAAAAACCCACTTGTTTTGTACCTGAATATTAGTTACATAAATAAATTGTAGTAGTGTACAGTAAGTAAATAATACGGGCAGGTCCCACTGCATCATCCTACATATGGCTTCCTTTTAGAAATTCTCCTTTGTAATTCTGAAGGCACATGTGGAATATTTGTCCCATTGAAATAAGTGGCAAAGGCTGTTTTTAAATGAAGGGATAGGAGCTACAGAATTGAGGGTAGTCATAAGAGAGATGAGTTACTAAACCTTAGTTGCTTTCTTTGCTTTGTTTTAACAGTAATGTTTGAATTATAACAAAATTCTCTGTGTTGTTAGATGTCTTTATGGGGAAGAAAAAAAAAACAAACAGAAAAGTCTATTTAATTGCTCAAGCACTGTAACAGAGAGAAATAGGAAAAAAAAGAGTGTTAATCTGTTATGTTGGAAATCTCCCTAGCTCATTACACTGTTGCTGGATGAAGATCAATATTGCTGATTAACTTTGAAGTTGATTCTTTCTAGGTAGAATAGATCAGCTTCTCAGCCTGCTGGAATAAAGTGTGAAGTAGATACTTTGAACTGAAAAGCTGTGTAAATCTTCTAGTTGCTCTTTTCACTAGAGGGTTGGAATCCTAGTAAGCTAATGACAATGCTCTTCTGGTTCGTGTTTGAAAACATACAGATAAAGGCATCATTTTTAGCCTCAGCAACATTCCACAGAAATTGTAACTCCTAATACCTCACTAGTTAAAGTAATCAACAGAGACAGAATAGCATCTGCCCCTCTGTAGCAGGCTGTGACCTCTCCTTCAGCTCAAGTACAAATTGAAACCTGTCTGGTGTTGTACCTCCCAGCTTTGTGCTGTCCTAGGTTGACACTGGCTGGAAACCTGGTGCCCACTAAAGCCTCAGGAGGACAGGGGAGAGAAAATACAATTAAATTTTGTGGAATGAGACAGGGAGATCGCTCACCAATTACAACTATGGGCAAAAGAGACTCAAACAAACTAGTTTAACTTATTGTTGATCAAGTCAGGATCGTGGCTAGGCTTCGCGAATGAAGATTTGGGAAAGGCTCTAACCACATTTGTTACAAACACGCTGGTGGCTAATAAGGCCAGTACGAGATAGACATGTCCAATTGCAAAAGGCACAGCAGAAAGACTCTAGGTGATATGTTCTGCAAGGCACGATTCTTTCTGCGTTGTCTTTTCTCCTCAAGGGTGATCCTGCTTGCTTTCTCAAAGGAAACAGCAGCGTTATAGACGGTGTGTCTCCAGGCCTCCCGATTTGAGGCCAGAGTAGACCAGTTATGTTGGTCAGTATGGCCAAGGCTGAGATGTTGTTTCAGGGAGTCCTTGTGTCTTTTCTTCTGGGCTCCTCTCTTGCGGCAGCCGGTGGCAAGTTCACCATAGAGCACGATCTTAGGAGGGAGGCGGTGGTCCCTCATCCTGGAGACGTGTCCTGCCCAACGCAACTGTGTTCTCAGCAACATGACCTCAATACTTGTGACTGCTGCTTGTTCTAGAACAGATGTATTGGTCACATAATCTGACCAGTGGATGTTAAGGATTGTACGGAGACAGCGTTGATGGAAGCATTCTAAGAGTCCCAGGTGGTGGTGGTAGATGACCCATGATTCGGAACCATATAAAAGAGTAGACAGCACTATGGCTCTGTAAACACTGATCTTGGTACTTTTCTTCAAGTGTTTATTTCGCCCTATTCTTTTATGGAGTTTTCCGAAAGCACTATATGCCTTTGCTAACCTGATCAAATCAGAATAGGATAATGAGAAATAAGAAAAAAAAATCTAGAACTACCTTTCCCCCACCTCTCCCATCTTCTGGGCTTAGCTCCACTCCCAACTACTCTACCTCCTTCCCCTGAGAAACACAGGGGACAGAGAATGGGGGTTGTGGTCCATTCATCTCTGCCACTCCTTCCTCCTCATGTAAATTGGAAGCTAGGAAAAAACAAAAGCCAGTCATCCTATGTATAGTCATTTTGACTAAGAGATCCTTGAGCCAAATATTTTATTTCATGGAATGCTCGTTTAGTGACTGTGACTTTGTGCTAATATCTGTTAGAAGGGGATTTTCCTGAAAAATGGAGAAGGAGAAAGGAAGCTCATTCACAACTAGAGAAATAGTCATGAGTAAATACTGAAGTCTCATATCTTTAGATACTGGAATGAGAGGTGGATTTTTGTTTTTTCTGAAGAATAAGGTATTTTTTTAAAGAATATCTATAATGTTGCCATCAGCAGCTATATGAATGGACTCATGTTTCTAACTTGTGATCTTTCCATTTTACAGTGGTTTCCCAATTCTGTTTCATTATAACTGAATATTTTGGAAGAATTCAGTCTGCCTAGCACTGAAAAAGCACTTTTGAACTGAATTTGAAATGTAGTTTTAGCTTTTATTGAGTAGAATACCCAGGTTTTATGTCCATTTGAAAGTACAGGAAATACTTTTTTTTTTCTGTTCTTCACTGTCATATAAAACCATCATTGCTAAAACTCTGTCTGAAATTAGGACTGTGGCTATAATACTGCCAACTGAGTTTTAGAAAACAGATAGCATTTTTTCTTAGTTTATTAAAATGTACTTAAAACAGACGATTGATAATGCTGTGGCTTTTATGTAGATACGCACTTGAAATAAAAATTATACAGCAAAAAAGCAAAGATAGCCCAAGAAGAATGAGATGACCATATAACGAGAAAATATAGCAGTAAGCTACTTATTGCTAGATCACTTCTTTCTGTTTCTCATATGTGTAACTTCACTGTAATAGACTATTCTTCCTATCCCCCATTCTCAGCATTATAACACTATCACCAAAAATTTACTTCATTGACTTTCAGCACAGTGAATAAGCAGTAGTTGACACAGTCGCACGTTTTTTAGCTTTTTACCAGTGTGTTCCGTGTTTAGCAACTGTAGATGCCCATCTTATATTCTTTGTTATTTTTTCATTCCTGGAAAATTGATGAAAATTTTAAAATCTGTGCATAAGTTTTTATTTTTTTCATTATAAGTTGATAGACATTTTATTTTCATGCAGTCAAATTTTCTTATAGGGAAGCAATTGAATATAGAGACTTTTTATCCATGACCTTATGCTGAGGAAGGAGAAGTCTCTTCTTGTTTTTTATCTGCATTTCTGTACATAAAATATTAACATTGTTTACATTGCCCTTTTCATTTATATGTAAAGCAATATTTTCTTGCCACTTATGGTGTTTTGGAATGCTTGAAAAATCAAGTAATTTGGATGACTGTCAATTGCCAAGGAAGTGTTACTTTCTTTCTTCTTGGCATTTGTGGTACTGAGACAAGACTAATCCCTATGAAAATTCTTAGTCTTACACAATTAAACTTTCCTGTTGTGAAATAGATAAATATTCCCCTTCTGAGTAAACTGCAACCTCTAGTAATTTTTGATTTGAACAAGATGAGTATCTTCAGGACTCTTTAAAATTTTTTATTTAGATAAAGCAGCTATGCCTGTTCAGTTGCTGAAGATCGTGAAAGAACAATCTGAGACTCCACTACCAAGCCATTTGCAAAAGGAGGATTTGAAACACTTGCAAGAAGGCTGTGATCATACCAACAAATATATTCAGGTAACTGACTAGTAAAAAAATTTTGTCCTACTTTGAAATAGCTCCTGTTATATTTACAAGACACCTCCACATTCCAGCTCAGCTGGAGAGATTCTGCATCTCTGTGTCTTTGTGTGCATCTGTTGCATATCTTAAAGCAGTGGAGAATTATGACCTTGTTGAACTTCATTTCCTGTTGCTAATGCCTTCATTGTTTCACAGTCCTGCCCCTTTCTGTTACATTATCAGACTGAAATTTTATAAGAGGTTTTCTTGTCATAGTTTGTAAACTGTGGACCCATTTAAAACCACAATAATATGCTGAATGCTGTGCTGAAAATGGACGGGTTGTGGGAGGTCAAGTTGTACTTTTTTTTTTAAAAATATTAATAAGCACCTCCATCCTGTTAAATATCAGATTTCGGAGTAATAATTTCTAAAGCAGTTCTCCCTTTGTATGGAGCAATACAGTTTTATGAGAAGAAGAATTTGTAGCAACTACCACCATCAAGATACAATTGGGTTTTTTATCACTACCAGGTGTTCACTTACATTTTGCAATAACCGCAAATATATTTCAGATTGGAAGTACAATGCTGCTATACTAGTGAAAAGCAGAAATATTTTTTTCTTACCTAAAACACGTATTCTCTGTAAAATGCAATGTCAATTCTTTAGGGTGTTCTTTTTTATCCTGTTTAACTTTTTTTTTTTCTGTGGCTCTTTTTAGTCATCCCTGATGCTTCAGTGTCAGGAAATAGCATTAATTGAGGCTTGCTTTCAGTCTGTTACCAAAAAACAAGGGAAAAGAAATTAAAGCAAGATAACTGTAGAAAACCTTGGGTGTCTTGAATCCTTAAAAAATGGCACAAACATTTTAAAAATATAAGCTGAAATGGTTTAATGTTTTTCTGTATCCAAAAAAAATTTTTATTTCCCCAGCTCTATATTCCCACTTCCAGCTCTAGTGCTTATCTGACCTTATGTTTGAGTCCATTCATGAGAAATAAACTGAGGAAGACTATCCGTATCAAAGGAGTGAGAGAGGATAGTTTGCTGCTCTCACTCTCTGCACTGGATCATTGTGATGTTGAAGAGGTGCCAGGAGTACTGCACTTAGGTATAGCAAAGGAACAAAACTACCCCTTTTGGAAGCAGGCAGCAGTTGAGTGTGATAGGAGGTGATTTGATTCAGAATGATCCAGCCTCCCTTAGGTCTTGTAAAGGAATGAATGGAAACATCAATAACCAATGCTGCTAGCAAACAGGGGTTTTATTCCTCAGGGTGTAGTTTCCTGTCCCTGTTCACCTGGAGGATATATAGGGTTTCCTGCTTTGAAGAGCTATGTCTGCAAGCAGCCCTGACATGGAAGAACATGGATTCTTATTCAGAAGGAAATGGTGAAGGAGACAAAAATAGATTATAAATTAGAAAATGTTTCTGCCAAAATAAATGTTTCCATTAGGAAAGCAGAGCAGTTATTAGCTGACTATGATTTAAAGCATATATGCAGTGCTATAGCTGATTGCTGAAAGGAAGAGTGTGTAGAATGTCTTTCTCAGGCTTCTGCCTTATGTTAAGAGAATATGCTGCTGCTGACATGGATTAGTAGGTGACTAAAACAGCTTGGCATAAAAACAGTGCAGCTGGAGAGCTGATAAAACTGGTGCTAATGCAGCATTAAATATGTAGGAAAATCCAGTTCTGCAGTCTGAGCTTGAAGTAAGCCTTAGAATACACTGATGTTAGGTTGTCTTAGTGGTGGCACAGCACGCTCACTCTAGACTGCCAAAATAGGGATCAGATCCTGCTTTGACAAAGGAGGAAGGGCAGATGGGGATTTTTATGAAGGGTGTTCTGGGAAAAAAGCAACAAAAAACATTTGAGATGCTTCTGTCTGACTTGTGTGCCTCAGTCTTGTCATTCTTCTGAAACTTTTTTTCTTCCTGACATCCCTCTGAGAAATGCAGATTTTAAATTTGTGGAACAACAGCACAAGCAATGTTCACACATCCTCAGACATCATGTCTGTTAACTAGACGTGATGCCTTCTCTCATTAGTTCATCATCCTCTGGATTTTGCTGTGACAAAGCTGAAAATCAGCTGCCAAATCAGCTATGGGAGCCGACTGAGGGGCGAGGCCTGACAAGGAAGGAGAGAGTCACTAGAGGAATTGCACAGTCAGTTTGAGAGTCTAGTAGCTTATGGAATGTGGAGGGTTTTGGAAGAAGTTTGCTTATGAACTCAATAAACAGTCCAGGATTTGTGGGGGAAGAGTCAATTTGAGCAAGTTTTGCAAAGGTAGTTTTTGTTGAATTTTGGAGCCCAAGTGTTTTGGGCATGTGGAGAAAGCAGTAGGTAAGTAGTATGTCTGCTGAGGAAGATAACTAAAGCATAGGTGTTTGGGATACAAAGGAAAGTGTTGGGGCCAGACTGTTATAGCAAAGAATGTGGTCCAGAATTTGAAAACTCTTTGGAAAATGCTGGGATGTAAAAGTAAAAATAAAAAGCAAAAATAGTCAGAAAGCACTCGCTATCTCATCAATGTATTCTGCTTGTAAATAGCATGCTGGTATGGATTGAAATTTCCTAGTAAGAAAAAAAGAATATATAAACATCAAGTGTTCCTGAGGTGACTGTTTCATTGCAAAGACATTATTAGATGAAAAAAAAAATCTGTAGTCTTTTATTTACCCGAGTACAGTTCAAGAGAATCTCAGCAAGAACAATTACATATATTAGTTGAAATTTTAAACAAAGTTGTAATTTTGAAACCAAGTGACAAACCTTTCTGTTTTTAACAGGTTAGCTCCTACTTTTCACAGAGAAGACTGATGAGTTTTGTAAGGAGCCTTAAGTGTCAAATTATTTTAAAAATCAGCATCTGCAAAATAGTGTTGAGGTTTTGTGGAGTCTTAGTATTTCTTTATAAAACTGATAGTAAAATGTTGTTGAATTTGATTTGATTTCCTCCTCAGTTAGCATGTTGTATAAAAAATTTTACTCTGAAACGCCTCTACAGTAAAAACTCACTGCTGCATATTTTATCTTGATTTGATTTAGTCTTAGTTCACAATATTTTATTTTATTTTTGCTTTTTAGGGAATAGTTGTCCTTTCCTACCCATTAACAAAACTCGGAGATGGGACAGACTTTTTCAAGATTGTTCTTCAAGGTACTACATTTAAGTATACGTTTTAAATTTATGGTATTACATCAATAGCACCTGCTCTTCTGTTCAGTAAAATGTTATATTTAAAATGTTATCTGAAAGTGTTTATTTCCTACAAAAAAAACTTATCTTAAACTTAGCCAAGTAAATTAATGGAAACAATGCAGTCTTTATATTTTAGTAGACTTCTTGTTGCATAATCTTTTAAAACACTGTCCTGGAAATGTATTACCTATATATGCAGCTTCAGTTGTGTATTTTCAAACTGCTTATCATAAAGAAGGACTAAGAAAATTGCACACATAATAGTTAGCACACAATATACATAGCATGTACTATGTAAGTGAATATTTAATATAGGTCAGTAATGTTGATTAGCAGCAAAATAGTTGTGTTTCATTCTGTTTTAATATAAGCAGTTAAAAAAATTGAATTTCACCTGATTACTCCAGTATTTGAATATCAGTAGATATACTAGCGCCTTGAAAGATCTAAGTTGTTCATCGTAATAAATGATACTAAAAATAATATGTTCCTTTTAAGTCTAAAGTTCATGCCCCCTCCAGCCAGGAAGGTGGAGAGTGTCATTTCTCAGGTGTCTGTTGGATTTAAGGAACTTTGTGTTTCCTGCCTTTTCATACTCAACTTATTCCTTTCAGTGGTTAGAGAATCATCAGTTGCTTTATCATTTCTATGTAATGTACACTAGTGTACAACATGTGCACATTTTAAATGGTCCTCATATGAAGACTATTCTGAGCAATATACCTATAGTTATCACATAAAAGCAGTTTTATAACTGTTTGAAAAGATTTTCTATTTGTAGATTAATTGAAATGAAAAAGTGTTAGACTGTAGATTAACTTGTTTTGTACCCTGGTGGCCTAGTGGTTAGCATGCAGGACTCTCACTGCTGCAACCCGGGTTCGATTCCTCGGTCTCCCGGGCAGATGGAACCCGTTAGCCCTGTGAGGCCATCCATCTATGAGAAGGTCACTCTAAACAAACCTACATCCTGAGGACCTCACTGCCATTGTCCAAGCTTGCTTGGCCCCGGCAGATGAACCTTAGGATTAAAGGGTGGGCTCAGTTCAGCACAGGCTGTGTCTCACCTAAAAAATCCATTGCGCAGGCTGGAAAGGTAAAAGACCTTTCCCCAGATCTTCGTTCGCGAAGACTGGCCATTATATATATATTATATATATATATAAATCACTTCCCATTGCTATTTTGTTTTGGAGAAGGTATGGTGATTGGAATCACTTCTGCTTTTTTTACTCTAGGTTTGGATGACTTGTGTTCCCGGATCAACAGCATCAATATTTTAATATATGGAAAAATGGCAGAGGATTGTGCAAAAGTTATACGCCATGGGGTAACAATAACCAAAAAAAACCGTATTATTGTTTTAGGAATTGTTTTTCACAGCTGTATGTTGACATCTTGTCATTGTCTGCCTGTCACTAAAATTAGAAATAGTCTGTTCAGTCCCTTCAAATCTATAAATATGAACTAAAAAAAAAATTTGCTTATGAAAATTCTTTCTAACAGTAATATTGAAATAAAGCAAGTCTTTTTGTCAGTGCTGTTTACCTAACAAGTAAAGGATCATGAATACAGATAATAGGGAAGTCATCCATTTATATTCATATTTTGAATGTTTTACCATTTGATAATGTAGATTTTAGAATTTAATTGATTTAAAAGACAATTACACTGAAGCCTTTTTTTTTAGAAGAAAGAAATAAATTCAAAACTATGCATACAGTTTTCTTCATTGACTGGGTGCTGATGTTGTGCTTTGTCAGGGATAAAAGCTTGGTTTGATTGGCTCCAGGATAAAGGACTTTGACAAGTCAGTTTGTGAGTTTGTGAGACACGGTGCTGCAACTAAAGAAGGAAAGCAAGATAAAAACGATTACCTCAACTTAATATTTTTTATTAGATTGCCTTTCAGTTTACTGGCATTTCAATATTAGCCAGATATCAAATTAAAATTAGTATACAATACATTATGAGCTCATGTTAGTGCTTTTTCATTTGTGATATGCATTCACACTAAATCATAGAGTAGTTTGGGCTGGAAGGCACCTTTAAAGATCACCCAGTTGCAACCCCCCCTGCCATGGGCAGGGACATCTTTCACTACACTGGATTGCTTCAAAGCCCCATCCAACCTAATTTTGAACACTTCCAGTGATGGGGCATCCACAACTTCTCTGGACAAATTGCAGTCTTTATACAGATTTCTCAGTTCCACGGAATTTTGACAGTGAAGCCAGGAAGGGAGGTTCCTGAACTAATTTGCTAAATATACAAGCTGTATAATCTTTTAGCATTCAAAGAACAAATCAGTTTTGTCTCGATTAAAAATACAAATCTTGAACAAGGCACTAAGCAGCAGTTAGAAGATAAAAAGATGAGTGCTAAAGACCTGAGTAGGAAACCACAACCCACAGGCAACACCCCTTAGATGGCCAGAGTGCACTAAAACCAGAGTTTGTTCTTCCACAGTGAACTGAACCTTCATGGTGCTTTCCACATGTCTCAAATGATCTTTTAAATTTGGAAGAACCTGAACATGAGGAAACAATGATTTCTGAAACTAACAGAGTTGCAGTTCAGCAATTATGGACTAGATTTAATTTTAAGACACTACTGATTTTTAGCTGTTAAAGAGTTACTTTAGAGAAGTCCGGTACTTTCTGTTGTTTGCTTGCAATTTCAAATTTTAGTGTTTTGTAATTTCCATATTATTCTTGGCATACTGTAACAACTTTAGCTAAGTAGCCTAGCGGGAGGAGCAGGCTATTTCCAAGAATGTGAATAACCATGTTGTCTCCGGAGAGTCTTCTCATTCTGTAACAGAATAACCATCAAGGAAAATATTGTCCTTCCTGTATTTCACGCTTTTTGAATGAGGGAAATAGGATTTCTTTTTGCTGTTTGAAGATGTTGGTTGAATCTGATAGTTTACCTATATATGTAATGTAATACTCTTCCACTGAAAATCCGCCAATTTATTTAAATACCTTTGATTCCCAAGCCAATTATGAGAACTTCTTAGCTAAAGGTTAAATGGAAACTAATCGATATTGTAAACTAATACAGCATTAAATTTCAAAGCACTATGCAATATTATGAAATTTTTTTGCATGTTTAGAAACTGTAAGTCACAACCTGTTGAAATTGACTGTGAATTTGTAACAAATCTGAGAATATACCTGTTCTTTCTCCTAGTATAACTAGATTTTGAGGTTTGTACTGTCTTTTTTTCCTCATGGAAATTGCACAGTCCTTTGAAAGGTTTTGGGTTTTTTTTATGTCATGATACATATGGCATATGTATTACATGAAAGTAATCAGTAGTGATTAATTTACAAAAAAGTTTCCATTTATTATCAACCTGTTTACAGGCTGAATCTATGTAAATCTGAAGTTCCTTCTGAGACAGAGGAACAAGACAAGTCAAGTCAACTGTACAGAGCTTCACTCCTGACTCAGCAACCAAGTCCCAGAATCTTGTGCAGCCTGCAATCTAACAAAATGCTGAAGTGGGAATAATAGCAAGGCATAGCTTTTTAGCTGAAGGTTGATTTTACTGTTGAAGGAACATACTGGGTAGCATCAGCAACAGTGAAGGGAAAGACATGTACAAAAGAGTTTCCTGAAGCTTGCGTTTGTGTGGGTTTGTGTCTGGAAAGAATGAAAAAACTTTCGTATATGTTAGTAGGGTGGTGTCTTCAGAGGTTCAAGGCATACTGAGTTATGGAATTGTTTTGACACATTTTAACTTAGCTCTGAGTGTAGCTTACTTCTAGGAGACTTCCTAGTACTTTTTAGACAAAATATACATCGTATTCCCATTTATGACACTACCTAAAAATCACCATGCCCTAAGTAGTTTCATTGTGTATTAAACTGTCTGATTAAACTTACATTTTCTGCAGAAATTTTTTCCCCTATGTTTTAATAACTAAATATATCACTGTCACTTGATCTAGCAGCCTTTCTTTTTCTTGCATGAAACATTAAGGTTTTGGATCTTAAATCATTTACAGTAGCATTGTCAGATTGCTGAAATAGCAAAAAAAGAACCGTCATAGGACAGTATTTGGCTAAAACTGTCAACTTTAATCAAAAAGCACTTTTATTTGTTGTAATCAAATAAACACATGAACAAAAGTAATTCAGTAAAAGTTTATGGAAGTGCTTTTGGTAGAAGCTTGAATAGAAATAGAGTCCAAGTCTAATATGTTTATCAGAACGGATCACACTGGTACAGACCTGCTGTACAGTTCTCATAGCAAGGAAGCTGCCTGTAAAGGAATTTTCCATTGTATCAGATATTTTTTTTAATCACATCTGATTTCCTAAATGTATTTTATGTATTTTCTATCCTCTCCTGCTTTTTCTTTTTTGTTTGGTGAAGCTGCTGCTAAAAATGTGAGTTGCTGCTGGGACTTTTAAATCATGTACCTTTTAAATCCTCCTTTTCTTGTTCACTTTGTGGTGTCTGAGGAACTTTATACTGAAGTGAACTTTATACTAAAGTGAAAGTGCAGTTATAATTGCTTGATGTGCCAGAATCTCAGAAGTTATACCAGAGAAGTTTATAATGTCTCTTTTGCTACCAGAAACCTACCTATTGATTGACTCACCTATTTGACCCTTAAAGAAGAAATTGGAAGATGTTGGTCCAAACAAAACAGAAAATATTTACAAGGATAGTTTTTTCAAAGTGCAGCTGTAACTCAATGAGAAAGAAGCTCCAAGAAAAGAGGGTTTTGTCACTGCTGATTCAATGCGTGATTTCTTTTCTACCTTAGCTAAGCTTAAACAGAAAGGAGTCAGTCTTCAGTGTATTCAAAGAGAAATGAGTCTTTTGCTTTATTCAGTGTGAATCTTCCCCTCTAGGCCTTGTTAGAAATAGCACTCAGTCACAGTAGCATCAAGAGTGCAAAAATTTTAGCAGAATTTGAAAAGAAAAAAAAGCTTGCTGGCATTGGTTGGAAGTATAAATTCCATGGGTAGAAGAACCAAATTAGTTTTTACAATTTGTTTGGTATTTTTGTTTCTTCAATGTCTTGAGACTTTAGGGTGAAATTTCACATCACATACATTTAAAATAGAACATGTGATACAGTCTATGTAATTTTCTGTATATTATCTTGTCCCCATAGGACACCTTCATAGTTGCAGGATTTAAGGTGATAAAATCACCTACAGCGGGAGAGGATGGTAGACATGGTTGTCACCTGGAGGTGTCTGAAGAAGATGGATCAGCCATTTACGTACGTGGGTACCCAATTATTTATTCCCCCTCCCCCAAAATACTAACATTAACATTTTGCTTTATAGTAGAAAAAACATAAAATCTATTAGAAACTAAAGTGCTACAGATCATTTTACCTTGTTCATCAGGAAACAGTCAAGAAACATTTGTGTGCGTGTGCGCGCATGCGTGTGTGCATGCAGTTTTATAATAACACTAACCAAATTATTTCCCACAACTACTTGTTGAGTGCAGAAATTTTACTTTATTTGGCTTTAGATAGATTCCCTAGAGCTGCTTAAATCACTGTTGGGCATAACACATTTCAGTAATGCAGACAAGGTAGAGGGTGCAAGAGTGGTTTCGGGTCTGTAATTTTTAGTTTTCTCAGGACTGTGGGTTTGTACTGCTTTGACTCACATCATTAATCATTGCCTTTGAAACACATGAATTCATAAATTCTAAATTTTTACAAGAGAATTTCACCCTTTTTTCCTGAGTAAAATATTCATTCTTTTGTACTATTCTCACATTATTGATATTCATTTTTGTCTGTATAGTTGTTGTCTAATTAAATTTTAAGTTTAAGAATTTTTTTTTTATTTCAGAAAGGCATTTTTATTTCAGAATTCACCTCTGTAGAAACTAAATGATTTAAAATGGTAGTGCAGACTGTTACATGAAATTATCTGTTGATAGGGATGAAACATAGGTAAAAAAAGTATGTTTCTTTGAAGATAATAGATAGCAAAACTGTGACCTGAATCTGAACAGGTGTGTCTAGACTAAAAGTACCTAAATTTTAGGAACTACAGGAGGCATTTGATTGAGCAAGACCCCAGGACATACAGTCTAAACCCAAGGAGTATGAACCACTCACTGAATGCCTGGGTAGTGCTGAGGAGATGTCTGTCTCATCATTGGCCACAGAATGGAGCTTGTGGCACTTAATTTACTGACACACTTGTTGGATGCTTAACATTAATACCAATTATCAGACTTTTTATGTGCTTCACTTTCTCAGTTGTGACTTTTCCCTCACCTATTTAAAACAAAAAAAATGAAAGTAAAATTTGCTTCAGGAATGCAGCTGAGGGTGGAGAGCAAAACCACATCCCTAGCAGGAGTCTGCACTGTGGGGGCAATGTGCAGCTGAGACATGGGACCCTGTGTCCAGCAGACAGGTTGTGATGTAGCGTCGGGATGGTAGCTGAGCCCTGTGTTTCATAGTGAGTGGGTTTGTCAAGTCACCAGGATTAGTTGTTTAAAAGACCTTACACTGACCATAAATCTGGCTTATAAGTATGGCTCGAAAAGCTTAGAAACTGTCTTTAAATAGAATTTATCCCATTCTGATGAATTTGCTTTGACTTTTTTTTTTTTATTTTATTTTCCCCGAAAGGAGAGTAACAAGTCACTGAGAGTAGATCTGCTCAAAGCACTAACATGTATAAAACCTAAACACGTTTATATATTATGTTAAGCAAGTACAGTTTTAAATTTGTGGCCTACAACTTGCAAATGCTATTCTGCTAATGTGACCTAACTTATATTGAACTCATACAGTGTATATATTATTTTGAAGTAGCTTTTGTCTACTGCTGTAACAGCAGTAAATGTTTTTTTCTTTTGTGGATAAAATTTTACTAGATTCAGAGGTGATTCATATACCAAAATTGTCTATAGGGCTGTTTTGTATTTACTTATAGTCTTATATTTGCTTTAGAGTTATCAAATGTTGTTATATTTGCAGTGCCTTCAATTTTGTAATCAGATTTACACTAAACCAAGAACAGCTACTGCTTCAGAAACTGCATTTGTGGTGAGTTTATATTTGGGATGTTTTTAAATCATGAGACCAACTGTATGTAAATAAGAATGTGTGGAATTCATTTTTGTTCCCGTTTAATTTACTTCCATGCTCTTATCCCTTCAGTCACTTGTTTTGCTTTTAATTTTGCAAATAATATACCTGGAACACAAAATAAAATATGAAAAAGTAGTACATTTTCCATACTTGCAATATAGTTCCCATCTCGATCTCCAAACAGACTGCATGTTGGTTTAGAAAATACAAACTAGAAAGGTAACTATTGTTCTAAATAAGACTGTATGCTTGTGCTTTTAAAAAAGGAAATAAGAATCTTCCTTTGATTTAAAATCAGACTTCAGGTACTGATCTTAAAATTTGTTTTGATTACTTTTTGGAACAAGCCTTTATGTGTCTAAATTAAAATTCCACAGGAAATAGTATATTAAAGGCATAGAAATTGGTTTATGAAATTTTTTTGGTCCTTATCATGATGTTAAAGATTCAGTACTAATGATGATACAGCTTGTTTTCATGTTAATTTTTTTTAAGAGTTGCATTTTTTTTCCCTCAGTATAGTAATTGAAAACCATAGTTATCAATCATTTTGACAGAACTCACATGCTTTAAAAGAGTCTAACCAGCATGTATTACAACCTTAAGACAGAGGAGAATAGTCCTTAAACAGTAGAAACTAGTCCTTAATGTCTTTAATTCTCCAACAATTGTGCTATTTTAATTGGAAGATATGCACAGTGGCTGTGAGAGGTAAACCCTCTCCCAGCCCAAGACAATGATTCTGTGCAGTGACACTGCCGATAAGAAATACAAAATTGTTTATGTATATGCTTTAAAAAGCCTTTTCAATGGACATGTTAAAATGGATCAGTAAAAAATTGTCTTTTACTGTTCTTTATTATAATGACTTTTATTCACCTGGTTCATATATTGAAACTTACTTGAACTAACTGGTTGGTTGATTGTAAGGAAGATGCAATCACAAAAAGAAATTAAATGTCTTATGTGTTTTCTGAATCTAAAGTGAATAAATATAAAGAAATAGGTAACTTTTTTTAATATGAAATAGACATGTCTGAAGATGAATGATGTTAAAAGACAAAATTCTGTATGAATGTTTGAATAATTTTTCTTCTGTTTCCTCATTTTCTCATGCCATTCCAGTCTATTGCTCCAAAATATGTGTATACTCCCCTGAATCAACTTAAAGATGGAACTATAGTGAATTTGTATGGCATTGTGAAATTCTTCAAACCTCCGTATGTTAGCAAAGGCACTGGTATGTACTGTATTCAAGAGATTTTAAATCTCTTACTATGTTCATTAATATACAACCAGAACAACAAATCCACATAATCGTTTGACCATGGTTCTCAGCTAATATCAAGGAAACAGAACAACAAATAGTTAAGGGATATCAGAGTCAGTTTAGCCAAAGTGGTGGAGATAGCAAATGAAGAAAGTATTAAGCTAATACTATGAGAGCAAAACAGGGAAAAGGACCTGTACAAAAAAAAAAAAAATTACAAAAGCCCTGCACCTGTCCTTGTGGGAGAGGATTCTTGTGTAGCTGTGTGCAATTTTTCCTTGAGGTTTTGACAAGCAGCGTTGTGATGTGCTACAAATATAGCAGTATATTTGTTACTTGTAAAGTTGTGGGATAACTGAATATTTTTTTCCTATCAGGTGAACACATTACTTATTGTACTAGTTTTGCTAGAAGATTGTGCCCTTTCACTAGGTGCTCAGTAAGTACATAGCTAGGTGACATCACTGCTGAATTTGGATAAGCAGTAGAATTTCATACTTAAATCAGAATTAATCAAAATATTTTCTGCTTATTATAAAGGTACTGTCCATTTTGAAGTTGTTTTTTCCCCCTTCTAAATGTAATTCTAATAAAACAAAAAACCCCCAGATTACGATGGTGATTTTTGATTTTTATGATCTTAATTACACATGCAGGTCTCTTAAATAATGTCACTAGCCATGAATTTAGCTTCTAAATACAGAAATTTTAGAACTGAGAACCAAGAGGTAGTGGTTTGTCTGCAAAGCCTTTTGTGAACAGATCTGTTTGATCTTGCTCAAAACCTGCCAGCAACAGTCCAAAGGTGATGTGCTCAAGGCAGAGAGAGCACAATGCTTGCTCCACCTGCAGTGGAGGTTTGCTTACAGTTAGGTAGCTTAAAACAGCTAAAAGCTGCAGAAACATGGCACAGCCGAAAAAAGTTCCAGTCCCAGCTAAGGTTCAACTAATGGCTTCACTTTTTGAAGACCAAGCAATCTTCAGCCTTAGTTTGAATCAATTTATTGTTTGAGTGGGAGGAACATCTGGGGAGTCTGTGCAGATTTGTGTCTGCCAGCTTCAGTATGTTCATCTGAACTATACTGATATACTCTGCGCTGTGGGCATGCTTAATTACTTCCTTTTGGGGCATATAGTATTCTTCTAGTTAAACAGATATACTGGTATGAAAGACCTTATTGACAGGAAGTACTTGCTCCCACTTGTAGGTGAAGTGTGGCTTTCCTGTACTTGTAGCTGCAGTTTGGTCCAGCACTTGTTCACAGAAAAGACAGGACGTGCATGTGCTGGTCCCTGGGCCATTGTTCAGCAAGTGTCAGCTGCACTGAAGGCAGCCAGCAGCCGTTTTTAAGTTATGCAGAGCAGCATAGGATTTTTCAAGAATATATTAGATTAACTGAATAACTTTGGGGAACTCATCAGCATTTTTGCATAGTGTTGACTGTGTCAACAGAAGAAACAATGTATGGACAGCACTAGGGCCCAGTGCCCTCCTGTCTGCAGGACAGCAGTGCTGTGCTTCCCATACAGTTAGTTGTGGAAATGTATTCCAATTACTGTTTCTTATAGCAGTTGGCATGGCTTGCTCCTAGGAAACCCTTCTGCGCCACATTCTTACTCAATGTTGAGAAGGCAGTAATGTTCCCCGAAATAACTCTGAAACATAAAAAACCCCAAGTCTGAAGAACATGGGATAATCAAATTTAAACTTTAATATTTAAAAATAGATGTAGTCATTAAGTTGGGAACTGAGCCAGTAATGGTCCATCTGTTTTTATAGCAAATATAGTATGTGTTTGGTTTTTTTCCTGCGAGACTAAGTTAAACTATTATCATATTCTACATAGTCATTGATAACATTAAAGTTATAAATTGCATTTTTTAAGATGAAATATTATTTTGATCGATTTATATCAAAAAAAGGAAATGATAGTTGTTAGAGAAAGGTATGGAAAAGATAGATGTCACAGTTCAGAAAATAGTTGGTGTTTGATAATACTGTAGCCCAGTAAAAGCAGAGAAGTACAAATTCCAATTGTTTTACATTAAGAAAGTTACAACACAACAGATATTCCTAGATGTAAATGAGGAATAATGGTAAGTGAAAGTACCTTCAAGAACTCAAAGCATTTAGACTTAGAAAACACAAAATTTGTTCTGACATCTAGATAGAAATGTAAATATTCATAAGATACTAAATTAAGTCTGTGCATGTTGGCTGTGAATATAGCAAATGTTTTAGCTGCAGTTAATACTTAAATATTAATATAAATGCAATGATAACACAGTCTTTATGCTTTTTCAAACAGAAGGACCAAATTTAAAAGTTAACAAAACATTTTATTTGTGTGTGAGATCTTACTGCTGATACTCCTTCCTGCTTGATGTGCCATTAATCTGTAAAATACTTCATTGTAAAGGTGCAAGTATAATCTTGACCTGTACAGAGCAGAGAACAGTCATCTCGTATTTAAGATTGATAGATCTGTTTTGCACAGGCTGCCAAACACATCTGTCTGTCACTGTAGCAAGCTTCTCAAAATCTTAATTTTGTGGTGGTGTCTGGTAAGTGCTTTATCTGTAATAATCAAGGATATTACCAGTGATCAATGGAGGTTCTTTCGCCTTGAAAAATATTGTAGGTTTAAGACTCAGACTTAAAAGCAAATAAACAGGCAAAACAAACCCCACAAAATCTTTTAAAGATTTTGTTTCCTTTTTTCACATTGCTGACATCAAAAAGAGTAAGGGAATTAATCAAATATAGAAAGTACTATTTCTGAGTAAATCATGAAAGGGCAGTTCTTTAAGGATCACATGGTTGAGATTTGTCATTTGTCCAGCTACTTTAGCAAGACTTTGGAGAACTGAGGACTTTGAACATCCTGAAGACGAGCACTGGTTGCTGGAAGTCAGTAGGACAGCCATTTTTTCCAGATATGTAAAAACAATGAAGTTAAATGCACTGACTTTCCAGACAGCATGTCTCTGAAACAGCTAGGACAGATTTTTGTGAGTGAGTTAATCACTTCCATTTCATAAGTAGTAGAAACTTAATAGGGAAAATGATTATTTATTTAACTGCTCCTTCTTACATATATTAAAACTTAAGACTGAAGCTTTGCACTGTATTCCCACAAAGTGGGTACCACTGGAGTGGTACCTAGTGGTTAGTTTATATAATCTATAATTAAATGTTCATCATTTCCATTACCATTTTTGCATTAGATGAATATTAAAACACTGATGAAGAAATGAATTTTCAGTATGCGCATAAATCGTTTATTCCACAGAAAGTTGTTTTAACTAAGCGTGCTTCAGCTCAAGACATGTAGTTTGAAATGTCTATACATGAGAACTTTGTGTTCTGAAAACTGTCCAAGGAAGTACTTCCAGTCCTGCTTGGTACAACAGACAGATGGGATTTTGTCTGCTGGAGCTGTTGCAAGTGTTCAAAACTATATTCTAACTTTTTTCTCCAACAGTTTAAGAGTCTTAAGATACTTTAAATTTTTAACAAAGGTGATTTTCTCCTCTCTCCTCTTCCTTAATCCCAAGGACATCTCAAGTATTTAACCTTGAGATAGTGGTTAGCATGCGGGACTCTCACCGCTGCGACCACGGGTTCGATTCCCAGTCCCTCCCGGGCAGATGGAACCCGTTAGCCCTGTGTGGCCATCCATCTATGAGAAGGACACTCTAAACAAACCTACGTCCTGAGGACCTCACTGCCATTGTCCAAGCT